TCTCTCTTTCTCTCTCTCTCTCTCTCTCTCTCTCTCTCAACTATTTATTAGAGAATAAACATAAAAGAAAATTCTTTAACTATTGTTATAATTAAATAACCAAAAATTAATACCGATTTTTGTCGAAATGTGCGTATTTTTTCCACTCAATTGGATTACTCTTATAGGAAAGCAACAGATTCTGGACGTAATCGACATCAATGGAGTCGCTCTCAAAGATTATCTGCAAATTCTTCACCAAATCGTCAAACGTGTTGATTGTCGGCAACGCTTTCTCGCAATCCATTGTATTATTAACGAACAACTTTTACAAATTTAGTTGAAAATTGTATACGAAGTTCACAAAACAAAATCTAACTCTTAATTAACTCGTTGTTTAATAATAACAAAAAAATATGCATCAATTGATTGGCAAAACCATTGCCACACTTTTTATATATAGTGGAGAATCCATGAGATTGTCTTATCACTAGTCCTGACTGTGATGTCAATAATATTGATATAATCAACAAATTTCTTCAAATCTCTTTCATTGGCCCAAAAGAAAGGATTTCTTGTCATTTAATTATTAAAATTACATATAAAAAACATATATTAACTTTTTATAATCATTAATATTTGTTAATAATTAAATGATAATTAAAAACACATAAATACCACTGTATGGTAAGACACGTAATACAATAGCGAATAAATCTATTACTTTTTACTTATAATAAAATGATTTTCAATAATTTTTAGCATAAAATAGAAAAACAACGAAAAATATCCAAATCCTGGTTATTATGTCGTAAATAGTAATCAATTTATTATTATTTTTTTTCTTTCTCTCTCTTCGATGACGAGAGAGACTTTATTTTTGCATAAAAATAACAATAAGACTAACTTTTCTCTAATGAGAGGCTCACAGACTCTTAGCTAATAAATAAATTATTTATTCAATCGTTTTTCGTTAACACAAAGCTATTTGTGGCAAAGATATAGAGTTTGAAACCATTTTTAATTAATTAATGATATTTTTGCAAATTCTATGCCATTAATGAATACTATTTCTTATTAAATAAAGGGTTTTCATAGAGAAAAACTAGAAAATCATAAAAATTTTTAAGAAAATTATTAATTAGTATTTTATACGAGAAGAAAAGAAAAACAATTATTCATTTTCTTAAAACATATAATTTTGGCGTCAAAACAAAATTACCATCAAATTAATATTTCAGACAATGAAAATGACCTGGTTCATAGTCGCATAAATGAATACTAAAGTTAGTGCAATATTTGCTTTAATTTGCCGACAAGAAATACCCAAAACAATTTTACCCAGACGTTTCTCGTATAAACATAATATCGGCAAATATTTTTCAAATAATAAGATCAAAGGGTTTACCAAATCATATCACTATTTAAACTGTGAAATCTTTGTGTGCTTTTTATCATTAGTCAAAACAACAAATATTTAAAATTATTTGTTTGAATACTATTTTCTAGTTTACAATTGCCTAAAATGCATCCTATTTATATTTAAATCTAGTTAAAACCGGATTTATTATGTTGTCGATAGCTACACCCTCGTGATCCGGCTAATTTTTGTTTACACCATGACATAACATAATAGTGTGTGAGAAAATATCAATCTCGACAAATTATAGATATGATAATCATATATAAAATATGTATTGATAATTACATTTATCATGTATTTTATTGTTTAAATTGATTTTCTTGCGCTTAAATAGTTGTTGTCTCAGAGCGTGACTCCAAGAATAGGGTCAATGAGACTCAATATAATCGTATCAGACATTCATTAATAATGATTTAATTACTTAAATGTAATTATAATTACAATATAAAATTTATGCTATTTTATTGAAATTAAATTCATAGAAATTCATATTTCTAAAGTTTTTCATATTTCTTTAGTTTATTAAATATACATAAAAATTAAAATTAACAAATATTCAGCTCATTATAAGTTTGCATAATTAAAAATATCTATCAAACTATACTCTAAGCCTTAGAGTCTAAGGCATAAAATATTTAATAAATTAGTGATTAATTGCATTTATTTTTAGTTTTGAAATAAAAACATAAATTTTTCCATTATTTTATTTGATTTTATTGAATGTATTATTTCATAAATAGGTGTGTAAAATGGGATATAAATAACTATTATATTATTACAGTAAATCTATTTAGGTATTATAATTAATTAAAATTTATTGTCAAATATAAAACAGTAAAATAACAGTAATTATATTATTCATAAGTTTTAGATGAAATTAAGTATATCATAAATTTACGCCAAAACCTTTCCACAAAACATTAACACAAGACCACACAAAACATGGCCTAAACACTGATTATGAAACATCTTATAAGATAATAATAATTGCGAAATAAAATGGAAAATTTATATAAAATTTATTCAATTTTAATTACACATATTTAATTTCTAGACACATGGTCAGACAATATTGTTATCAATGATAAGTTATCATACAAAATCATTATTATCAAAACATAGACACATTGTATTGTTATGTTTAATTCAAGACATTTATCGAGATTACTATTAATTAAGCTATTAATTAATAAAAGCGGGGAATTTTTCATTCAGTATACAGTATAAGCATTTTTAACGTTGAGGTTAAAAATATCTCAAAGTTTTTTAGGGAAAATTAATTAATTGTTATAAAAAACAGGAGTAAAGTGTGGAATAAATTTTCTTCTTCTTTCTTTTAACAGTCAATCAATCAAATTGTTATCCAATTATTAAAGTAAACACCACTTCATTAATAATATGCTTATTATGGGCTCTATTATCAAAATACATTCAATTTGTTATAGTATTGTATAAAATGCGGCGATTGTTATGAATGTTATGAATGATATTCTCGTTTACGATAATAGTAATTAAGTTTTGTTTACCATATTGTATATTATGAATGAATCGACTTTAATCTACAATTAACATTTATGTTAAACTGCTATATTTTAGTATTTAATACCGAGTTTGTAATGAAGCATTATTAATGTCGTTACCAACATTTAAACATGCTTGTTTTGTAAACTTTGTAAGCATTGTAAATATTGTTTTCGATAACGTTCTTGGTAAGTTTTAATAAAGTCACATTTTATAATTTCAATTTGTAAATTTCTAAATCAATGCCAAACTATACATATGAGTGATATCACGTTTATCTAATTTTATAAATATCAACAAAACAATAACATATTTTGATTGAAACATTGATTTCTGATTGGACTGTAATATACAATATTGTAAACATTTTTAATCACTTTTGTAAACAGCATTAAACCGCTTAATTAAAATTATTTTTAAATTAATGAATGTCCGATTAGTGGAAAAATATTAGCTTATGATTTAATAAAACATGATTAAAATTTTCAATTACTATTTACACAAATATGAAAACAAATCAAATATTAATTTTCAAATCATTTTCTTATAAGCACTTAAAAGTCTCAAGTGTTTTGTGTTTTTAAAAATCAGTTTACATTGTTTTACACAAATTAATTTACAAATATAATGTTAAAATTATATAATGATACATCATTATAGTGTATTTTATTTATCAATAGTGTGCTTGGTTATCATGTTGGCATTATTTTTGTGTTCATAATAATTATATTGTAATTTGTTTGTTACGTTAAATTATATGTGAAAAATGCTGATAAATGAAGTATTTTGTGCCCAAACATCACATTATTTTAGTTGAGATATAAACATAACCTCACAATGAGTTTCAATTTTATTGTTTATAAAGTACTGAATTTATCAATAAAGATATCATTTTAAGGACCATAACAGTAAATGACCTTTTATTTAACCTAGGCAATAGTAAACCACATCGCAAATAATTTTACCACTATCGGTTATCAATTAATCAAGCGCGAAAGCAAATTTCACATATTTGCGAAATAATATAAATGTTGGCAATAAATCAATGAGAAAATAATTTTCCAAAAAAAAACTTTATTATAAATTCAATCATTAATACAATGGTTAGTAAGGAAGAGACTGCGGGTTTGCATACAAACGATATGGTATATAAAAAACTCAATCATAATTATAATAATGATAATCAAAAACTAATTGTTTGGCGAAAATGTGTAGAAATAGATGTGAAGACAGACGAGAAGTGCGAAATAGTCTAAAATGTTTGCTAATAATGGCGTGAATTCAAACACATTCAACCGATGGCTACGATTATCGTAATTATAGCGTTTAATCCAAACACTAATCGCGTTTACCATTAGTGCAAAATAGGGTAAGAAATAGCGCCAAACAAATGGCCTGAAACGTCCAGTTGGGCAATAGGTTTGCGCCCAAACTGCACGATATGCCCGAATGCGTGACCGACCACTTGATCTGGTCGGGCGACCGGCACCGCACATCTGTCATCAAACAAACATAAAGTACACATTAAAAACACATTACAAACAGACAATGTCTTAATCACACAAACCTTTGCAGTCGATACCGCCTGACGCGGCTGTATTGGACTGTGCGCTCAGTCCTATCGTAAAGTGTATGGACGGACACGTCTCGAAGTTTTTACGATAACACGGATTATTAAAAGTAACTTTCAATTCGCCGCCATCTTCGGTGGCCTCTTCGCACCGGCGGTCCTCCCGCTCAGCCATCGGCGCTCTATCCCAACACACTCTGATCCGAGACCTCTCAGCCTTAAACTAAAATCAAAACAAAAAACAACCGGGTTAAAACCAAAACCACCATCACGATCACAATCAGACACCTACCCTAAACTCAGTGCCAAAGCTTTTGATGAAATGCCTGGGATACATAGCCCAGTACTGTTTGTATCCGGGGGTCACATATCCCTCGTAGATCTCGTTAGCGGACTGTCGGCGCTTACAATCCCCGTATTGAAGGACTTGCGGGGTTTGAATGATCTTATTGACCAATTCGTTGGCCTTAGTCTCGGCGGTGTCCGAACCGACGCCCATTTGGATCCAGTCGTCGTCTCTGATGAGCATATCCTTGAAGTCCTCTTTGTTAAGCGTAGCCATAATGAAGTGGACGTCTCTGTGTTCGTACCGAAGCCGCCATTTNGGCGGTGTCCGAACCGACGCCCATTTGGATCCAGTCGTCGTCTCTGATGAGCATATCCTTGAAGTCCTCTTTGTTAAGCGTAGCCATAATGAAGTGGACGTCTCTGTGTTCGTACCGAAGCCGCCATTTGAAGTCTTCGTATCGGTTTTTGGCCTCGCGTTCGGTCGGTATCTTCATTAGAGATCCGTAATCAAACCAAATGAAATTCTTGGACGGAATGCCCGGCAAGTAGTCGGACGGCGCGTCAAACTCCATGAGTGTCTTATTGATTAACTCCATGAGTAGCGGTCTCTCGTTTATCTTTGTTTGGGCTACAGATTATGGTAATTTTAAAAAATCATTCTAGTTAACAACATGTTCAACTAATATTTTGTAACAAACATGATAATTGGACTTACAGTTGTCATACCACGCGGTACGACATGAGGCGCATTGGGATGACGTGGTGTTGTACGCGAGCGCATAGAGTGGTGTTAGGATCTGATTGCTGTAATCGTCGACCAAATTCACGTCGTTTTGCATCTGAGAGTTGACCAAAACTGTGACGGAGCCGGCGTTGCGGCCGAGTGTCAGCCGCCGGACAACGTTAGTCACAACATTGACCTCTTCGTCGAAACCCTCGCCCATCGCCGGCATATTGTCCAACAGGAAGAACACGTCAGCCGTTGTCTCGACCGACGCCGCGTTCAAGTCAGTGCCCAGACTCGTGGCCGTACAGTAATCGCGTTCATCTATTAATGTCAATAAAAGCTTTATTGTTACCATTGTTTTAGGAAATATTTAATAATGTGCTCAATGGTAGTGGCGATCGCTTACCGGCCGGTCTCTCAGTGCCCGCCTTATTGATGAATTGACTGAACGATCGCGAGGTTTCGGCCACAAAACCGGTCAACTGGTGATCGAAGTACGAGTTCTCGTAGAAGACTCCGTTCCAGACGCGGATATAGTTCTCGGCCTCTCTCTGCACCTTATTCTGCAGTTCCGTCAGTCCGTACCCCCGGTTGCAGACCGTGGCGTCCAATGACATGCCTTTCGGTGAGTAGTATTGGCGCAGGATTTGGCTCAAAGAGATGGTCGGGTTTTGTTGCAATACTGTCGGCAGTTTGCGGCCGATATTCCAGCCGT